CGGCCCCTCGCAGAGACGGCCCCAGCAGACCTCATCACTCCTCCCCTCTAACAGAGCAGCTAAGATGAAGGCAGAGAGAGGGGGCAAGAACAGGGAAGGGAAAGCAGGGAACCCCTGACCCAGGGAAGCCCAGAGGGGCTTAGGCCTCGTAGCTGCTGCAAGGGGGGAGTCAGGTCTTCTGCCTGCCTGTGCCAGGCCTGTGAGCCATTTTCCAGCCTTAAGCAGTAAGTGAGGAAGAGGCGGACCAGCCTGGCTCCTCAAGAAGGCTGGAGGCATGGGCGCTTCTCCATCTGGACAGGGTGGCCGAGGATTCCCCCGGGGCCCAGGCTCCAAGAACAGATGCCCCACCACCTCGTCACACCAGCAGATGGCAGCTCCACGCGGCTCCCTGCGAGGAGGGGAGAGCCTGCCACCATCTGGCCTCCAGGGAGAGACCTCTGGGAGGAGAGGCTATCGGGCCCCAGGGGAGACTGAGCCTGTAGCAAAGCAGGAGGGAGGGAAGCTAGCACCCAGTGATCCACAGAAGTCAGGTGGGGCTTGTCTCTGCTAAGCTCACAGGCTGGCAGGAATCACGGCCTGGAAGAGCGTCTGGGTGGGCTTGGGTGTCCCACAGAGTCAGGGTTCCCAGCAGGGCCAGCCTTCTGCCAGACCTCATCACGGGCAGGTGATGGAATAACTTAATAAAACAGGTTCTCCCTGCCTTGTAGATTGGATATAAGAGGTCATCTGCTGACCCTCTGGGATTTACTCCGGGACTCTACCCGAACTGCCTCACACCACAGGTACAGAAACTGAGATGGAGATTGGGGACTGACCAGCTCACACAGCGTGTCTGTGGCTAAAACTCTGAGGCTCCCAGCCTGATGCCACATAAAGTTCTCTTTCCACACAGAGCCCACTGCCCTGTTCTCAGAGAAGATGCAGAGAAAGAACAGCCCTCTTTGGAAACAAAGACTGTTAACCCAAAAAGAAAGGTTGTCACAACCAGTGCCCCTCAGCCTCACTTGCAGGCAGTGGACAGTCAGACCAGCAAACCCTTCCCCTCCTGCCTGCTGCAATCTTTCCCCCTCTGGGTCCCTAGACACCAGCAGAATCTCTGAACATCTGGAGTGAGAACTGAGGAGTTCCGTTTCTGGGGAGTCTCTAGAGTGGTTGTTTTTGTTTGTTTAGTAGAAATACCAGCTTATAAGTGTCAATAGTTAAATAATCAGGAGCTTCCTGAGCCGTTGTTAAACCATTGATAGTCAGCTTGAAATCCACCATGATGGGAGTATTTACACCATGGAAATTGACAAACACTACAAATCAGGGATTTCTTTCCCTTCCTTTCTTTTTTCTGAAAGGTGCTCAAGTCATCAGTGTATCAGTGCACTTCACAAACTAAACTCACAGCCTCTCTTGCCCAACATTACATTATGAGGTTCCCCATACCACTGAACATAACTGTGGATCATTTATTCTCATCACCATATAGTATTCCATTGTGTGAGTTTACCACAAATCACTTATCCATTCTATTTTAATGGACATTTGGGTGGCCTTCAGTTTGGGGCTATGAATGGATAGTACTGCTATAAATGTTCTAGAACAGTGCTGTCCAATAGAACTTTCTATGATAAGGAAAATGTTCTATGTCTTCACTGTCCGATATGATAGCCACCAGCCACCATGTGTAGCTATTGAGCACTTGAAATGTGACTAGTGCAACTGAATTTTGAGTTTTAAATTTTATTTTAATGAAGTAGTTACAATATTATCATATTGGACCACATAGTTCTAGTACATGGCTTGTGGTGAATATATGGATGCATTTCTGTTGGAGAATGCATTCCATCTAGGAGTACAACTTCTGGATTATAGAGCATATATATGTTTGGCTTTAATAGCTAGAGCTAAATAGTTTTCCAGAGTGTACCAATTCATATCCCACCAGCCATGTCTGAGAGCTCTAGTTGCTCTACATCCTGCCCACACTTGGTGTTGTCTGGATTTTTTCATTTTAGTCATTCTGGTGGGTAGTAGAGCTATCACCTTGTGGCCTTCATTTGAATTTCCCTGGTGATTAAATATAATTTAGCATCTTGTATCTCTTTTGTGAAGTGATTGTTTGATTCTTTTGCCCATTTTTCTTTTGGGTTTTATCATTATTGATTTATAGTTCTTTCTATCTTCTGAATGCAAGTCCTCAGATGGATATATTATTGTGGAAATTATCTCCCTCTTTGTGGATTGCCTTTTCACTCTCATAATGGTATTTTGGATTAACGGGTGTTCTTAATTTTTATATATAAAATATTTTTTAGTTTGTGTATATAGTTATTTACTTTATTCATGTTTAACTTTAAAATTTACAGAAAATGATACAGAAGATAACATTGTGGAACAATCTGGAAATCTTAAGAACGAGGACTTGACTACTACACGTCAAAGAATAACATTTTATGGCCATGAAAGCCAAGGTGGGCACCTTTTAAGTTGGGTGGCAGCCTTGTTAAAGAGTTCTTGTCTATTATTGAAATTTCAGGTTTTCGGTCAAATGAAATTTAAAGGATTGCTCATAAAATAGTTTAAACATTTTCCAAAAATCATCTTTTTTTTCAAGTTAGAAAGGTACCTCCAATACTTCAAAATATCCACAATGATCTCCATAGTTTAAGGACTATTATAATACGTGTGACTATTATACACACACAGTATGTCACTAACACTCTCTAAACCATGAGAAGAGTAGCACTGTGGCATCACCCCCTTGTCATCCTTGTGAGGGAGTAGAATGACCAATTATACCTGTTCAATACTAGCACACTACCAAGGGTAAAATCCAATTATCTAAAACAACATGACTATCAAATTTCCAGACAATATGCAGTTTATAACTGAATTTGTAGATTCAGAAACCTGTGGAGGCCAGCAAAGCTGGTCCTCATACTCCATCTTCCTGTGCATCCCTGCCCCTTCCCAAGACCTTGGTAAAGACATGCTGACCTTTTCACCTTGTTTCTTGGTGGAGGAGAGTCCTTGTCTAGCACTGAGTCTTGGGCTCACTCATTTGCTGTGTGACCTTGGGCAAGTCCATTGCCCTCTCTGAGCTTCCCTTTTCCTATCTGTGAGTTAGTTGATCTCCCAGACCAGAGGCTTCAGAGGAGCGGAGGGGAGGTCAGATCCTGCTACCAAAGGCTCCTTCAGGACTCTGCTCCCCTCCTCCCTGGCAGGAGCAGCCAGGAGAGAATCTCTGGTCCTGATCTCAAAGTACCCTGCACTTAGGGGTGAATAGCTCGCAGGGATGGAGGAGGAAAGTGTGTGGTGGGGTCTGTGCCCCAGCTCAGTATCCTCTCTGTTCCCAACAGGTCCACACAACCATACCGGCTATTTCTACCCTGGGTTAGAGAATTGGGGGAAGAGTAGTTTGGCTGTGTCTCCTGTAATGGTGGCAAGTGTAGTCATAGGTATGGTCACCGCCATCTCCTGCGTCACCATCATCCTGGGCAGCCTGCGCAAGGAAAGGCGGTCGTGGCTGCAGCCCCGCCGCCCCAGTGGGGACCACGAGGATGGCCAAGGTGAGCTGCTGCCCTTCTCAGGGCCACTTATCCCTCCCTCCATCCGTCCACTGATCCATCGACTCACTCATCCCACCGTCCCCCCACCTATTCATCTCTTCATGCCCCTGCCAGGTTATCCTCCCATCCCACTCACCCATGCCTTTCTCCATCCATCCCTCCATCCAGGCACCATCTGGACCACCTGTCAGTACAGCCTGGACCAACAGTGGCCGGGGCTGGGGAGTAGCCACCTATCTCCCCTCTGACCATCAGCCCCACCCTTGGCAGACACCCAGGCTTCTCATGCCACTGAGAACATTACGGTGAGCACCTGTGAGCTCTTCCTGATCACCCACGACCACTGAGAGGCCTTCCCTGACCACCCGCCCCCTCCCATGGCAGAGCGGCCACCTCCTGATGCCTCCTGGGTTGCAGGCATCTCTAAAATGGGTACACAGGACCCTCCCCCCAAAATGTTATTGTGAGGACTAAATTAGCACCTAGCCAATGGGTAAGTGCTCAGTGAATGTTAACTATTTTCATTGTCTTTCCTCCAAGAAAACTTGCTCTCAGGCCACTTATGCTGGTGCCCCCACCTGCCAGCACCAGCCTGGCAACTCCAAAGCATTCTCCACAGGTAACCAAAGTAACTGGACTGTGGCCACGCCCATCCTCAGCCCAGCTCTCCTCCAAGGCTCCCCAATGCCCTCAGGACAAAATGGGTCCTCCTCTGTTTGCCCACAGGGCCCTTCTACAGTCTGGCCAGCACAGAGAGAGTAGCTGATAAATGTCTGGGAGTGAGTGAGTGAGTGAGTGAGTGAGTGAGTGAGTGAGTGATGAATGAATGAATGAATGAATGAATGAACGAACCAACCAACAAAGGAAATTATGTTTCCATAAGATGGAAAGAACTTGAGCTTTAGGAGACAGATCTGGTGGCTGACCATATCTCCTCTCACTTGCTGGGGTTTAGAGCAAGTGACTTCCCCTGTCCTTTTTGTCATCTGAAAGGAGGGGACAGCCACAGTGCCTCTCTCACAAGCACATGAGGATACGGCCCAGGAGGGGCTCATGGATGCAAACTCCGCCTCCCCTCTCCCAGGCCTGTCAAGGGATGTTAACCTTGGATTTGGGTTAAATAATGAACTGAGGTATTTATTAATATTGGTAAAGAAGGGGATGGGGAGATTTCACCTTCCATGAGGTGGATGGGGGGCTTCCAGAGGCCTGGACCATTTGGGTCTGTGCTGACACAGAAGTCAGGGAAGGAGGGACGATATAAAAAGAATTTGGAGAGTTCAGATGAGGGGCAGGCAGTTCCTTTCCAGCTAGTCCTCAGGAGCCCTGCCTGGCTGGATGCTTGGGACTGACTTGGGTCATCTCAGGATCGGGGGCTGAGCCAAGTGAGTACCTCAGAGCAGCTTCACTTTCCCTAAGGTGCTCAGCCTCTGGGAGACCCAAGAAAAGCAGTCCAAGGGGAGAGGTGAACAGCAGTATGGGCGGCCCTTCCCACCAGGGCCACCCCACTGTCCTGGAAACAGCCTTAGCTTTCCTGACGTTTGGACAGCAGGCGGGATCCTCCTCTGACAACGCTGCCAGGGAGGGGACCCCTGCACCAGAGCCCAGCAGCCCTGGTTGCCGTCACCTGTTGTTTCCTGCTTACCTCTTTCCTGAGCTTCTTCCCCAAGTTCCTCCAAAAGTTCTCATTCTTCAGCTGCTGCCCTAAAGGGAAACAAATCTCATTTCAGCTCCCTTCTACAGCATGTTATTAGGTTCTGTGTCTATCAAAGCTCAAGGCACACTGCTCGGTACTGAGCTGTCCCCTGGGCAGACTGCCCACCGCCCTGGGAGCCCCCACCAGGGCAGGGCAGCTCTGCTTCCTCTTTGGGACCCCATGCCCAGCACAGCATTGGTGCTCACATTCTGGGGCCATCACTGAGGGTATCTGTGCTTGGTAAGGAGCAGGAGGGTGCTTTGGAGAGAACAGTCTCTGTAGCCTCAGGTAAATACGGGAGGACCCTCCCTGGCACCAGCCTGAGGCCCAAACTGAATGTCTGTTCCCTGCAGACTCGGAGGGGGAAACATACTGGAGCAGCGGGATACACGACACCTGCAACCTTGTGGGGTACTGGACCATGCCCTTTGACCTCAGCTCTGATCCAGAGGCGGAGGCCATCAGGCTCCACTGGCTGTGCAGGAATCCTCCACCTCGGTAAGAGGCCTCCTGGGGAAAAGGGTGTGTGGGGGGGGGGGTCTAGGCACAAATGCCCCCCATGGGAAACAGCAACACCTTCCTAAATGGTATAGATGCAGAAAACATCTGCTTAGAGGCTGTGACCATCTCCCCACCCCTTCCAGGGAGGCAGGATTTGACTCAGCAGATGGCACCATGAGACACTCAAAATGGAAGAGAATAGCTCGACTCCTTCAGGGGTGAAGGGGTGTGGTGGAGGGTCCAGGCCCCAGCTCCTTTGTTTGTGCCCCCAAAGCCCAAATCACATCCACTGGGATGGAGGCCATTGTGTCCAAACTCCACTCAGGGCCATCAGGTAGAGCTGTGCCATTGGTGAATTCTTCTCTGGAGGGCCTTTGGCTCCTCTCCTGCCAGCCATCCGCAGGCAGATCACCCACCAGGTAGTACTTGGAAAGAGAAGAGGGGTCCCATCACTTTGCTACCAGGAGACCCTCAGCCCAACAAACACCCAGGTCTTCCCTATCACCCTTCACGCTTCTCTCTCTGCCCTCAGGGGCACTGGGAGGGGCAGTGCAGTTGCCCTCTCCCAGGACAGAGGATGCTTTTTAGCCCGGCACCTATGGGTTCAGAGGGGCCCCAGGGAATGACTTAAGATCAAGGGGTGACTGGCAGCCTGAGGTTGCGCCCACCAGCGCTGCCCACACTCAGTGCCCAGCCTGGGAGATGCTGCACCAACAGCAGCTCCTGCTGTTCTGAGCAATCTGAGACCCAGTGTTCAGTGACTTGCTCACTCAAGTTCACACACAACATTGTGGCTGAATCAGGACCAGAACCTAGGTCTCAGTGGTTCTGTGGTACCCCTCGCTGGGGAATAGAGAGGTTTCATTGGACCCATCATGCCAAAGGCCTAGCTGGTCCATGCCAGGGCAGCTTATCACCGGACAGGCTCTTAGCTCTTGAGGAAAGACCCCACACCCGCCCCTAAGGGCAGGTTCCACAGGCCCTGAGGGAGCCCCTTCTCTTATAGCTATGAAGAGTGTATGGGACCAGGGGCCACTCAGCTGTACCTCCCCATGGACGCACCACCACCCTACTCGCTGATCAACACCGACCACAGCTCCAGAGGATGCCAGCAGGTGGAGAGTGGCCTCCACACCAACTCCATGGATGCCCTGCCCCCTTATGAGGCTGTGTGTTGGCCTAGCCCTCCACCGAGCCTGCTGCCACTGCCAGGGCCCGAACCAGAGCCACGCAGCTTCCAGGGCTCACCCACCCCAAATGGGAGCCCAGAGAGAATCGTGTGAATGCCAGCAGGTCACGTCCTGCCAGTCCATAGGGGCTGAGTAAGACCTTTCGGGAACACAGGGGACCACGTGCATGCACACATATACACATGCACAAACATATATACACACACAGACATATGCACACACGTACACGTAGACACAGACATATGCACACATACACATGCAGATACATACATAGACACATGCACACATATCCCCCCACACACACACATACACACAAACTCATGCACACACAGCATTCCTACATGTATACACATAACACAACATACACACAGACATATACACACTGACACACCCATGTGTACATATACATCCAAACATGCCCTACACGTGTGAAGACATGTGTACATGCACACGCCCATGCACACTCATCTGTGAAGCTTTCATTAAAAATGAAGCTCTCCCTACCTCGCGTTCCCTCCCCAGCCTGTGGGCTATGACTTTGTAGACAGCACTGGAAGAAGAGAGGTAAAGGAGGACCTCAGGCTTGCTCCTGCCTCTCCGGGGCCTGTTTGCCTCTGCCCTCGCCTGGCAGGCTGTGCCCAAACTCTGATTCTGTCTCTAGAAACAGCTTGACCATCCCAGGTCAGCTGTCTACCCCCATGCCCTCCAAGGGCAACCTGTCACCCAGGTTGGTGGGACAGGTCTCAGTGAGGCTCAGCTCTACACTGAACCTCTCTGTCAAATCCAGGGCAGCAGAACCACATCACCACCCTGCCACTTATGGGGTGAGGGACACGGGCCTGGGGGGCTCCGGCACAACCTGGAGACCCGTACAGCCCACTCTGCCCTCACCCTAACCGAGTGCCCTCAGTCTGGTGGTGCTAGCGGAGTTATCTCCAAAGCCCCCACCCTAAACCCAGGGGACGAACAGGGCTCCTGGTGGCTGTGCCATGGTGGTGACTGGTTACAGCTGCCCCCATATCAGTCCAACCACTTCCCAGGACTAAGCATCTTCAAAGAACATAAGGGCTCCAAGACATAGGAGCGGCCCCCTCACTAAGTATGTACCCAGGTGGCCTGAGCTTAAATGGGCTGGAGCCAGACCCCAGAAACTGGTACTGTCCTCTTGGGTGGGGGCTCATAGTTGGGAATTGAGGTGACATGCTCTGGTCTTGCCCTCCAGCATGTTTGCAGAGACAGAGGAAAGGCAAAGTGAGCCCCATCGTGCAACTACAAGAGGACCAGTGGTAGCATCTCGGCCTTGATGCCGGGACACTACAGAAGGACATGGGTGGGTTTGCCTAGTTGTAGAGAGGCTCCGATCTTGGCCCATGAAATCCAGCAATTTCCCTCCGAGATCATGCAGGTAACAGAGCTGATCCTGAACACCTAGCCTGCCAGAGGGTGGCCGCTGAGAATCTTTGAGAAGGGTCCCCACTAGCATCACCAGCAGCAGGGAGCAGAGTCCTCACACCCACTTTGCCTCCCTCGCTGGTCCTTAAACAACCCCCATCCATCCTCTCCCCCACACCTCTATTCCACCAATGAAGGGCTAAAACAATTCACTAACCCCTTTCTTAAGAAGAGCAGTCGCTGGAATGGCCATTGTGAATTTTATTTTGTGTAGAAATTGTATTTTTGTGCAGTACAGAACTGAAAGGAATCCGTCAAAAGTTCGGTAGCACCTGGAACCTCTTGTTCCACTTGGAGTAGGACCTTGTTTACAAGCAGTTTTGTCGCCTTTGTGGTGCACTGTTTTTTAGGCAAAAAATATCTGTTGTACCGTATAGCTTTAAATGCACTCAAGGGATGAAACGCATCCTGCTTCTGCAACCCTCGAGAGTGCTGCGGGGCGGGGGGGATCCCTATGTACTCATCAGTGTTGGAAGGTGAACAGCTTTTCTTCCTCCTGGATTAAGTGTTATTTAAGCAACAATGCATCTTTTCTGTGTTCAAAATAAATACATCATATCAATAAAAAGTGTTGCAAAAAGTAAAGTAACGTATCAAAGCGGGGGCTTATGCCATCTGAAACTCCTAAGGAAACAGGAAACAGCAGCAAACTGAAAATATGTTACTTCTCACAAAATTAGCAGCCATTGAAGCCTTGTCATTTTCCTGTTGACACAAATATTTGGATTATGAGAGATTTACAAGATTCCTGTGTCCATCAGCCTGTTCCAAGCCCACACTGCCACCTGCCGGCCCCCTGCTGCCACTGTTCGAAGCCAAAGAGTCTACGCCTGAAGAAAGCAAATTCTCTTCTCCAACATTCAAACCCACTGCCCATGGTCACTCATAGTTGCCTCCCACCCTTGGGATGTTCCATGAGCTTTAACCCATTCAAGAATTCCATTTTCAGGAATCGCCCATCCCCCAGCATCTCTCTCTCGGCACAGCCTAATACCCAAGCCCCCTCTCTGTGTGCAATATAATCACTCCTCTGCTCTTCCAACCACCAATGTTCATGGCTAAGGCGCCACCTCCGTGTCATGGGGCCCCTCCTGCTGGGAGTGAATGGTGATGGGGTCGAGACATGTGCTGGCCCCACCCTGAGCCACCCCACAGACACCCGGTTCCAACAACAAACACACTCAGGATCCCACTGGCACAGGGGACTGTTGGGCTCAGCATTTCCTGCCTCCTCTATCCACAGCATGCCCTGTGTCCACATATGGCACCACATCCAAGGTCCTTCTTGCAAACAAGACTGACCTCTCTCTCTGCCAGGGGCCTGAGGGGGTGGGGGCTGAGGAGGGACCCTTGTGCGGGCTGAATGGGCTTCTCTGGCCAGAGTCTTCAGAAGGGGGGAGTTAATAGCTGATGGCATGTGAGGCCATCATGGTGGTCAACACAATCTGCCACTGGTCCAGCGTGTATGGACACAGCATGTTCCAAGGTCTTTGGACAGGGCACCAATAGCACCTGCCACAGATGAGCAGTAGAAATCACCCTAGAGAAAGAGGAAGGACAGAGTATGGCCACCCACAGCTCGCACTGGCCAAGCCCCCTGCACATCCACACACGGGGCCTCACACCCCATTCCTAGAGACACCCTGACATACTCATGTAGTATCACTCAGCTCACATCACCTGTGGTTTTGTAGGTGTCTACTTAGACGGCTTTGGTGCACACACACTAGCACCCCTTACACACTCAAAGGTCCCACATACACCGTCCAAGGCCATCCACTCTCATACTCAGGTGTCACCATCAGTGACTGACCTGATGACTGACAAGGTTCTGGATGTGAGCAGTGGAAGGACCTGCAGCTCATTGTCTGAGAGGGTGAATCTTCCTTCCTGGGCTCTGCTCGGCTTGACCTCACGTTGCACCTCCCCAAGCCCACGTGAACTCTCTCAGTCAGGACGAATTGCCCCGGTCAGGCCCTGTATTTCCAGGCGAGGGGGCTGGGCATGCTTTTGCCCTCAGGCTGCAGCCCAGCTGTGCCTGCTCAGCGTCTCTCCCAAGTAATCCCAGGTCTGCACGTCCTCAGGCCTGTGCTCACAGCCTCAGCCACACCACAGCCACCCACCCTCACCAGCCTGATTCGTGGGGGCCTAGGGCTGTCCTGCCTTCTGGCCCACGGCTGGTGGCTGCCTGGTCCATGACCCGCCACAAAGCTGGAACCACCTGAACTACAGGGTGGAGGGAGTGGACAGCTCTGGAAAGGGGGGCCCTCCACCCTGACAGGTTCTGAGCCTTACCCCCATTATTCAATCTCAAGAGGCAGAAACCCAACTTAAACCAGAAAGGGTATTTACTGGCTCACATACCTAAACTGTCCAAGTGATAATCCAACTTCAGGCGCGGCTGGACCCTCGGAGTCCGAGATTCCCGGCAGGTGCGTTGTCTCTCTTGGCCTGCTGCCTGCCGTGTGGTCTTCATTTTCCCACAGGAGCAATGGCTGTGGGCGCCCAAGGGCGCTGGCTGACCCACAACAAAGACGGACTCTCTGTCTGAGACCAAATATCAAATCTCAGAGAAAACTAATTGGCCTGAGCACACACACAGGCCAGGCGGGCGGTGGAGGCTGTGGCCGGAGCAGAGCCTCCCATTAGCCCGGCCCGGGTCACGTGCCCACGCCCGTGGCAGAGGAGGAGCCGGGCTGACTCCTGGGACGGCTTTTCCAAAGTGAAGAGGGAGGACCGGGCATGCCCAGAACGGGGGCCTCTGCCCTGTTCCCCACCTATTAGCTGTCAGTCTGAATGAAGACAGCAGGCCAGGGGGAGACGGTGACCATACGGGAAGCCAGGGCAGGTGCCGGGGCAGGGAAGGTAGGGGTAGCTGCTGGCCAGGGCCCGGGGCAGAAGACGGAGAAGTCAAAACCAGCCTGTAGCTGGGCCTAAGGGCACCAGACTCATGGGGACACCATCTTGAATCTGTCCCGGCTCTTCCCCGGTTGTCCAGGCCTGGCTGTAGTGCCTGCTGGGAGGGGTCTCTGGCCAAATGCCACACTGAGTGCACCCTGTCTGTGCCTTGAGGCCGACAGATAAGTCTCTCCCAAGGAAAACACCTGTCGGTAGTGTGGTGGTTGCGTAGCTACATTCCTGAGAAGGAATGTAAATTTGGGCCCGGGAAGTCAGGCCTGGGGCTCCAGGCCGGGCATCGACTCCCCCAGGGCTGCTCGCCGCTGGGCTCCTCCACCTCCTCCCAGCCCTCCCCTCCCTGGCCTGGCCCTGCGAGTCTGAGCCACCCCCAGCCCGGCGCCCAGGGTCAGGGGCCAAGCTGGCTCCTCCGTGCAGTGGGCCTGGTGGGGCTGAGGAGCGGACAACCGGCAAGAACATTCTGTTCAACTGTGAGCGAAACTGATTCCTCCCTGGGCCACGGCCTCGAGGACAGTGAGTGCTGAGCTCCAGGCCTGGGAGCCCCTGCCCAGGCAGCACCTCCGGCCCACGTACATGTATTTAAAATGTGGAGTGCTCATCTTTATAGTGTTGTGTTCTGCCTTTTTTTCCTCATGGAATTATTTTAACTAATTTTAGACTTAAGGGAAAAATTGCAAAATAGTACAAAGAATTCTCTTTTGTTTCCTACTCTGCTTCCCCTGAAACTAATCATTCTCATAACCATAGCATTGTTCTTTTCTCCCCCACCCAGTGTGGTTGCTACTCACTTGTGAAACTGCTAGGTTCAGCTGTGTCTGTCTCCCACTTTCTGTTCCCCCTACAACCTAGTTGACCTTAATTGTTTATTTGGGGGGAAGGAGGTAATGTGAAACTGTTGCTATGCTTCTAAGAGTAGGAGTTATACAAAAGATGTGTTCACAGCAGTGTCATTTCCTTCTCAGCCCTGCAACCCAGTCTTCCCTTCTTTCCAGCCTCTCCCAGCCCTTCTCTTTAGTTTCTGGGTTAGCCTCCAGCACTTCCTTTGCATCTGTGTATTTTCTTACGTCTCTTCTTTCTTATATAAAGGGAAGGATACTACAGATGCTCATTTGGACATTGCTTTTTCCCCCACTTAATAGTGTTTCCTGGAAATCGCATCGTATCTCTTCAGAGATTGTCCTCGTTCTTTTTTACAGCTGCGTTCTACTCCATTGTGTAGATGTACCAGCGTTCCTTTAACCGCACTTACATATGGGGTTTTAGGTTGCTTCCAGTATTTTGCATTTACAAGCAATGCTGCAATAAATAACCTTGTGCATATATATTTTCATACTGTAGGAAGTATATAGGTATTAGATCCTAGAAGTGGGATTGCCGGATCATAATGCAAGTACATGTGCCGTTTGTTAGATATTATCAAATTTCTTTCCAGGTGGGCTGTACAAATTTGCACCACCACCACCCCCCACAGCAATTTAACAGACTGCTTGTTTCCCCACGGCCTCTCATCAACAAAGTGCGGTTTTTCTGGTCATTGGGTTTTTTGGGTGGATTTGTTGTTTTTGCCAGGCTGGTAGGTGAGAAATGGTATCTCAGTTTTAATTTGCTGCCTTAGCCTGTCTGAGCTGCTATAACAAAATACCACACACTGGGTAGCTTATAAACAATAGAAATTTATTTCTCACAGTCTTGGAGGCTGGAAATCTGAGATCGTGGTGCCAGCATGGTCAGGTTCTGGCGAAGACCCTTTTCCAGGCTGCAGTCTGCCGACTTCTCGATGTGTCCTCACATGGTGGTCAAGGCTTTGTGAGGTCTTTTAAAAGAGTACTAATCCCAGTCACAAGGGTTCCACCCTCATGACTAATCACCTCCCAAAAAATCTCCCTCCTATCACCTTGTGCATTAGGGTTTTATCATATGAATTCAGGGAAGGGGGAAACACAATCATTCAGACCATAGTATTTGCATTTCTCTAATTGAGTGAATTTGCGTATTTTTCATGTTTAAGGGCCATTTTTATAACTTTTTTTGTAAATTGTTCACATCTTTTTCTCATTTCTCTACTGGATTTTTTATTGTCTTTCATTTTTTAAATAATCTTCATGGATATTTAGTGATACTGGCCTTTTGTCTGTGATATACATTGTTTATTCTTCAAGTCTGTCGAATGACTTTTGTTTTTATGGTGTTTTTCGTCATACAAATTTTAAAATTTTTATTTAGCCATTTTATTCATCTTTTATTGCCCCTGGAAGGTGGGATGTGGGGGCAGAGGGAGGAGGAGGCGGGGCCCAGGACACCACAGTGCAGAAGCCAGATCTGTGGTCCGGCCTGTGGACGACAACTCCCATCCTGCCTTTCCCCCCCTCCAAGGCCTCTAGCAAAGTCCTGTTAGAACCTTCCAGCTTATCTTAGTTGTCCCTTTCAAAGGTCACCTACATTTGAATCAAAGTGTGAATGGGGAGCAGTATGTCCTGATGGCCAACATTTGCCAGAGTAGGAGCTCGGGAACCATCTTGGACAGTGAGGCTCCTGGAGGAAGGAATCCACCAGGCAGGAAGTCTGACTGGGAACAGATGAACCCCGATGGCATCGGAGCCACCACACCAGCCCTGGACCACCCTCCTCCTTTTATGAGAAAACAATATATACTTCTAATTTTATTTTAATCACCAGGTACATGAAATATTTCTAAATGGTTCTAATCAGGTATTTTACATGTAAATTAAAAGGCTTAAATGTAAACTGGAATTATTTCACTAAAGATGTTGACTAAAAGAAAATGTATATGCTATTCAGTATGGATTTTTTGTGTGTTTTTTAAAATTCTTATATTTTAAAAGATATGTCTTTATTGATTTCAGAGAGAAGAAGGGAGAGGGAGAGACAGAAACATCAATGTTGAGAGAGTCATTGATGGGCCGCCTCCTGCACACCCCCTACTGGGAATCAAGCCCACAACCTGGGCACATGCCAGGACCAGGAATCGAACCCCGATCTCCCGGATCATAAGTCAATGCTCAACGGCTGAGTGACATCAGTCAAGCTTCAATGTTTTTTTAAATTAGTAAGAGTCAAAGCAGCGGAGGCAGCTCTGGGGTATACTGACTTTATGCACTACAGAAGCTGACCTCAGAGCTGAGCGACACCAGCATCAAAATGCCAGTCCCTGCCAGGCTCCTCCTAGCCATCCCTTTGAGTCCCTGGGGAGTGCCTCCCTCTGCTCTAAGAACTGGTCCCCATATCTGCTCGCTTCTTGCCCTGGCTCGCAGCTGCTCTGTGACCCCTGCCACACGGGGAAAGTAACCCTCATGCAAGCTGGGCTCTAGCGGTTTCATGGGACATCTCTGGGTGGGAGATTTTTGTGACCAGTCCTGGCCACCATGGATACACACAGCATCCTCTCTATGGTGCCAGGTGGGAGCACAGCCAGCTCTTCTGGACCCGTGCATCCCAGGTTAGGAAATATGGCGCTTAAAAAATAAGAATACATTAACTTACTGGCAATAGGCTGCTGTAGGGAGCTAAAATTGCTGGCATAGGAAGCGCCCCAAAATTAACATCAGCTTTTAGGTGAAGGAATTATTGGCCACCACAGAGCAAGACTTTTTTTTAAAAATCAGATTTCCCCCAGAACAAATGCTTGAATTGAGCTGTGGGGAAAACAGTGGACCAATCATTTACAAATTCCCAAAGATGGCCCCTGCACGTCAAGAGTCCTGGCAGCAGAGGTTCCTGCCTCCTCCAGGTTTCCAGTCAATCATCTGGGCTGAGACACATCCCCTCTGGGCTGCTGCCCCTCATCCTGCCCACAGCCCAAGATTCAGCCCAGACAGGAAGGGCCAGGAGCCAGAGTGCCTGCCCCCTCAGCCCTCCCTCTGGGCACCTCTTTAGCGGCAGAGAACTCCCATATACACAGGTGCCGTACTCACAGAGGCTGAGACAAGGACTCCCAACCTTCCTTTACACCAACCGTTTCTCAGTGTGGGGAGGGGCCAAGGCCTGTTTCCCCAAAGTTTACAACTGCCCCTCCCCCACGTCTGCAGCCATTGTTCTTGACGCTCTCTGCTCCCCTCCCCCAGAGCTCCGAGAGCCTTTGCTTGCAAGCCCCGACTTCCTCATCCAGACTGTCCCGAAGAGAACACTCTTCCTTCTTCTTGCTTCCAGCTTGACTCAAGAAACGGCTGTGCCTTCAATGCACTGTTACAGCTAAGCAAAGCTGAGATTTTTCTGAACCAATAAAGATGGTTTCATGCTTTATGGCTGAAGGTGTCCCCTTGGATCGAAAAACATTTCATAAAGCCTTGTGCCACTTGCATCTCTGCCCCGGGCACAAACTAATTCCGAGGGCAAAGCTCCACACAAAAGGCCTCTCTGGATTTAGGGAGCCTCGGAAGCCAGGGCTGGTAGCCCCTTGCCCCTGCTCGGCACTGGGCAAACCAGCCAGGGGCCAAAAGCCATTTTTCTCCTATGGAACTGGCAGCAGCTCAAGCAGGACCTTCATCACCAGGAGACCACGCACCATTTGGGAGCCAACGCCTAATTTTTCTAAGGATGGGAGCCCAGCTGCCCGGATGACAAGGGGTAAACGCCACAGTGGCTTTTGTTGAGAAACCACTAGATACTGATCTCAGGCCAAACACACCACAATTTTGTGAAAGTCTAGAAGTGACTGTTGTCCTGAGAACAGCTAAAATCATGAGGAAATGATGACATCTGCCCCATGCACTGCTGCCTCTCTCCACACAGATGTGAGGACTCCAGCCGGGGAAGACAGGGCTCTCAGGATGAGGCAGCCTGGGGCAGGAGAACATTTTTGGAATTGCCAAAAGTCTGGGTGTTGCCAACACCCTGGCTGTGTGACCCTGGGGAGTCCCTTGGCCTCTCTGAGCTTCCACTTCAGACCCTGAGATGTAAAACCACTACCTCACCCTCCTGTGTGGTCTGAGGGGTTAGAGACCATGAATCCACCTTGATGTCAGCTGGCCGTTCCTCAGGGCTTAATTAGAGGGACCAAACAATGGGCGACCACCACGAGAGGTGCCAGGGGGAATGCAAGGCTGCAAACGTTAAAGGGCATAACAAACCCACTGGTCTCATTTGTCATTTATCCTCTAGGGCCAGAAACCCAGGATAAAGACACTGGCGAAGGAGAAAGACCATTAGGAAAATAAATCTGGCCAGATACAAAGCCCTTCCAAGAGGAGATTTCCCACATCACTCCTAATAGTTAAGCTGGCAGCAGCAGGCATTTTTCTGGCATGAGCTTTCCTGTCCTATGGACCATGTTTCTGATTCCCTGGAGTTAATATTCGGTCCCGGTTCCATTCAAAGAGTTCTAACATTTTCTGCATGTTCTGGTCAGCCTCAATCACCTGGAAATTAAACATACAGTCATAAGCCCGCACTTGACTTCAACATCACCCTCTCTTCAAAAATGAAGAGAGAGTTGCAGGTAGGCGGGAGGAGGCAGGGAGAGGAAGGTTAAAGCCAAACAGCACCCAGTTCTAGGTCAATCTACATTCTCAGCTACATTTGCACTTAAGAATCCACTAGAGTTGCCCCTGCAGCGAGCTCATAAATGATTTTCTTCTCATCATTTCACACCATCTAATTTTCTATAATGAGGGGAAAATTATACTGTACTTCTTTCAAAATCCTCAATAGTAATATCTCACTTTCCAGCAACCTCACTGCCTGGAAGAGCCAAAGTAGAAGTGTTTGAGCAGCCCAAACAGATATCCCCACGGCCACTTATAAAAGTCTGTGCACGGCCCGCCCTCAGGTCCCATGCTGTATACACATTCCTAACAGTCTTAGGTACCCATGTGCCTGCCTGAAGAGATGCAGCAGCAGCAAATCAAAAAAGAGGACAGAGAAGCAAGGGATCGCGGATGGGGCAGACACACCCAGAGTTAGAAATGGCAAGTGTCAGCAGGAGAAAGAAGGGCTACCATGAAAAGCAAAAGCAGGAACTCAGAGATGTTAGTGATCTGGGGAAAACAGTCCGACACACCTCAGAACCTCCTAAAGGCATCACTGTGTGACAGCCCAGAACAGCAAATGATGTTCCTTCGGATGCCCTGAGTCACCAAGAAAAGGTGCAATGAGGCTCTGAGCCTGCCACTCACTGAAGAAGGAACTATTGCATCAGAAAGACCACCATCCCAAATGGCTAAAACCAAAACCCAAGTCTAGAAGCTTCAGCCATCTAGAACATTCCCTCGATGATGCTGGGTGAGATGCTACTGTGGTTCACTGGTGCAATGACACTGAGACAAATCCCTTCTCTTGGGTCTACCCCAGTCACTCTGAGACTCAGTCCAGAATGTGGACTGTGAGAGAGAAAGAGACCTTTCCACCCTCCCTGCTTCCTTCTGTATTCTCAAACTCTGCAGGACTCAGCCCTTCCCCAGGCTGCAGAGTGCTGACATTCCCTGGGTCACTCTTCCTTCTAGAAAAGTCTCCTGCCCCATCAGGACTTACCAGAACAGGGGCCACTACAGGGAAAAGGTTCCCTTTGATGAGCCATTCCTCATAGAGGTTGTGAATAGCATCCAGGTATTCCTGCCAGGAAACACATACGTTAAACACGGAGGGGAGCAAGCACACCTCTCCCACCCAGGGTCTCGGGCAGCCAGGGTGAAGGTCAATGACCATGGGGCAGGGGCTTGAACAAAGAAGCTCCCTCCCCCCCCACGACAACCAACCTTTCTCAGGGGAACAGTGATAAATGCAGCTGCTCATTCCAACAGCCAGCCCAGGCATCACCACAGTCAGCCCAGCCCCATCCAGTCCTCCGGTGCACTCTGCCGGGGCTTCAGATGCACCCTCCCACCAGCTTCTCTCATTTCTCTCATTTACTGCCTTTTTTTTTTTTTTTTTAAGCAGTAGGGCCACCAGTTCCTTTTGGGGAGGGGTATCCATGGCCATGCCACAGCCAGGTATCCCAGCCCTGGGCAGCCTGAACCTTTCCCTCCCACCAAGAAGAATGAGACCCTCCCTGGTCTAGGAGCCCCACTCCCACTGCTTCCACCCCACCAGACAACTTGTAACCTATGGATCCTCTAGTCTAGACCATAAAGGACAACTTCAAAAAGCCCAATGAAGTGGAACCCACAGGTGAAGAGGCCCAGACACGTCCCTAAGTCCCCTGTGCCTTCACACCAGGAAGGACTGAACGGCACACGCTCCCACATGCAGGCCCAGGTGCTCTTGGCCACCCGCCAACACCTTGTCCTCAAGTGGCAATTTACCCCCAGCCAGCAGCTCTTGGGCGAGCAGCACTGCCTCTTTTCATCCACCGGGTTCTCCCTTAGCAGCAAGACAAATGTGGCCTGCAGGCCTTGTCAAAACAGTTAAGACAATGGCTTGGATAATGATTTGGGGGGACTCCAGACTTGGCATTTCTTTAGAACATCTGGGTCTAAAGAGATGTTCATCACACAGGGCAGCTCTGCTCCATCACAGCATGGTCCACCCCTGCTCCACTGTGTCCTTTCTCCAATCACTCCTGTTCTGGGCCTTCATGGTTGGACTCTACCTTGCTGGTGCCCAGGTAAATAAGGCTGGCCAGGTTTCAGGAGCTGGAGAGGCCTCAGGGCCCCCAGTCCAGCCCATCCTGAGCTCAGACCCCTACGACATCCTAGTAACCACTTGCCCAGCCTTGTGTTTGTGTACTTCCAGTGATAGCTTCTCACATGGGGTATTCAGTTCAGTATTAACTGAGAAACTCCTAGGTGCCAGGCCCTGGGACACATGCTGAGGATACAGAGGGAATAAGATTTAATCTTAAAAAGCTCACAATTCCCTGAGGGATGGGGAACAAACGTGCAAACAACTAGGTTCAATATGCTGGTCCTAAGGGCTGTGATCATAGTAAGCCCAGGGGCTGGGGGAGCACAACTGAGGGAAGATCATGGAAGGCTTCCTGGAGGAGGTGACATCTGAGCTCAGCTTGGAAGGCAAAAGAAACCACTATACAAAAGCACATTTGTATAACTCCATGGTGTGTATGTGTGTGAATGAGTGTGTAGAACCACAACTAGTTCTTTATGGCCAGAGTGTAAAAGACAGAGTGGAAGGAGATAAAGCCATCATGCAGGATCTCGTGTGGGCACGCTAAAAATAGGGACTTCATCCTAGACCATGATGAGGCACTGAAGGGTTTGGGGCTGGGAAACTGCATGAGTGGTGTTCTGTATTGGAAACCTCACCCAAGCAGCAGTGTGGAGGCTGGGTTTCAGAGGCAGATGGGAGTGAGGGACCAGGGCCAGGAGAGCAGTCCGAGCCTGTTACAACAATCCCAGCTAGAGTCAATATGGCCTTGAGCCAGGCCCAGAAGGGTGAAGCAGTAAGCAAACACCAGTGTCACTCCGAGCTGGGCACTGCACTAAGCACCAGAGATGCAGCAACGAGCAAGAGGGCACATTCTAGAGTGGGTCCAGAGGACACGGAGGCAAGCTATCTTCTGGAGGTGGATGGGACAAGCCCTGGTGATGCCTGGGCAGGGATGGAGGAAGGTGCTAACAGTGGGGTCTGGGACACAGGAAGTAAGGCTGATCTGGACATGGCAGGGGGTCTCCAGCCACAGAGGAAGCCAGAGTCCACCCTCTGATATGCTCAGTTCCTGTTTCTCTCTTTGTGACAACAGCACCCTGATCTCCCAGAAGGTGGGGCCAGGCTGGGACAACAGGGGCTTCCAGTTCATCTCCAACCAGGTTAAAGGGGGCTCTTACTAATGGAATGACCTTCTCCTCTTCTCTGCATCTCATCTTTAACCTCTGATAACAGGTCTCAGGAGTGGTCCGGAGATAAACTGAAATTAAAAAAAATATATATATATATATTGGCTGTAATGACTGTTCATGGCCTGGAAGTGAAAGCCAAGGAGAGAAGGAAGGAAGGCATGTGAGCAAGGCATGGAGAGAAACATCTGTCAGCATCTCTGAACAAGAGACAAAGACCAGGGTCAGCTCACAACTCAACCACTGACCAGCTGTGTGATCTGACAGTCACCTTGGCCCTCATCCTGACTTCTGTTCCCTTTCCATGTCAAGAGTCCCATGGGGTCGTTGTGAGGCTGAATAAGGCTCCAGACACCCAGTGGGTCTCAATTAATGTCTAAGTTTTGTCACCTCCTCCCTCTCTTACAAATTAGAAAAATCCATCAAGTCACAGTGGACCAGGGAGAACAACTTGAGGAACAAAGGCCAGCATGCTCCTCCAGGAGGGACCAGGAGCCCCCCAATTCTGTCTGCCCTTGGGGAAAAGCTGAACTGATATGGAGAAAGAACCACCATGGTAAGGGCCCTGCCCACCACCCCTGCTGGCTGGTTGGATACCTGGATAAGTTCATTCTCACTGAGCCCAGGGGCGGGAGGCACAGGAGGAAGGTCAGGATGGGCCATCTCACCTATCAAATCCACGGACACGTCGATGTTCCTCACAATCCAGTCAAACCACTCCGACAGGACCACGTAGTCTACTTCAGGCATCTTCCCGCTGCAATGAGAGGTGTAAAGGCTCTGTTTACCCATCAGAAAGTTTCTGGGATGTGCCATTCCCCTAAAGTGACGGGATGGCTTTTGTTGAAAGGGCACTGCCAAGGGCACCACAGTCTGATTCATAGACATGTGGTGATGACGAGGACCTTAAACACCTCTGGCCTTCCGCGGCCTGGTGATGGGTGATGGTGCAACACAGCAAGTGTCACAGCACTGCTCAATGGGAGAACTCATTTGGGATTCGAACTCCAAGCAGAGAAAGGGGCTCTGACACCCATCCCCTGAGAACAGGGAAAGCACTCAGGTTAGGAGGTGGCTTGGCAAACCAATTTCACCTCTAGAAATTTATTTTGTGGAAATAATCATGAATGTCCATGGAACACTGTTTAAAATAATGAAAAAACTAAACCTTGGTACATCTATATAACAGAAAACCACGCAATAACTGGAAGATGACACTGTAAAGTAATACTTAATGACATGCAAATGCCCATAAGTCAATGCAAACAGCAGGATACAAAACTGTGCATATAGTATGACCCGCCCAGAGTTTCAAGCAGTTTGAAAAAAAGATCAAAAAGAAAAACACCAAAATGTTAACTGCTTTTCTCTGACCTGAAAGACTATGGAAGACTTTCATTTTCTTTATACCTTTCTGTATATTCCAAAACTTAACAACATATTAATTCTCAAATCAAGAGTGGGGGGCAGAGGGAGACTGCTACATATTTAAAGTGTTAACTAAAAAAGAAAGGAAAGAAGGGAAGAAGGAAAGGGGAAGGAAGAAAGAGCCAAGAGTGGAAAGAGAGACCTGGAGGCTACCTGGCTCCTGCGGATTTCCTCTGTGCGGGAGGAAACAGAAAAGAAAGAGGAACGGCCACAGCTGCAAGAAACAAACCTGCTAACAGCTGATGGCCCCTCCACCCATCTCAGATTCACTCAGAACTGAGTTTGGTGAGACTGACTCCAAGCGGAGTGGATATGCCCAAGTTGTGGGCAGCATGTACCTGGGCTGGGCTAAGTAAGGAAACAAAAACCTGGCTTCCACGATTCTGAGGATGTCAGGCAGCATGTGCTGTTTCATCCATTTTTGTGGTTTTCCTCCTGGGAACTCTGCCCAGCTCCTCCTGTATCTGCCTTGACAGTGGCATGCCCAGCACCCCCCACAGGCCACTGCTTTTCTTTCCACAGAATACACAGAGGACAGTGCCTCTCTACAGAAAATCCAAAGGCCCAACTCACCGACAGTGAACGGAGGGGATTTCATGGAGCTTTCCCCTGATAGCAGGATGGCAAAATTGAAGTCTTGGGTCCCCATAAACCCTGCTTGCTTTTTATTTGGCACCATTTGCTGCCACTTTTGCCCTGAAGCCCAGAGAGCCCCGGGTTTACACAGCACAAGTTAGAACAGAATTTCACACACCAATGCCAGCCATCTTGTATACATTATTTTCTTCTACTTTCACAAGACTGTGTAAGATCAACTTTAGTCCCAATTCATAGATGAGGAAAACTGAGGCCCAGAGAAGCCCAACTCTGAGCAGGGATTCAAGACGGCTCTCCATGGCCCTGAAACCCACAGGCTCTTAGTTGCATCACTCGCCCTCCCTGGCTTGTCAACTGAGGGGGCTGTTCTGGATCACGCCCAGTGTCTCATGGCCTCAGCTCAAGAAAAGCCACAGCTCTCAGGCTCAAGACCCAGGCCATGAGTCCCCCATCAGAACTACAGCTGGGAAAGATTCCAAGCCCCAGGGCCAATCAGGGAAGTAGGAGGACCTGCCTGTTATTCTAAATTCAGGGTCTTAATGCCCCTCACCAGCCCCAGGTGAGTCAGTGTGCTGTTTTCACAGCTGGGCCCACTCAATTTCTGGATTTCTACACTTAGAACAAGCCACCCAGGCAATCTTGTAAAACCTTTGCGTTCAATTACTCAGCCCACAGGGCTGGGGCCACACAATTGCCTGCATGGCCTCTTTAGCTGCGTCTTTCTGCTCCGTGAATAACTTTCACCACCTGGCCCAAAGACAACATGCAGGGTTGGGCTCTTGCTTTCAGGCCCCAAAGCCCCAAGGGATACCCCAAGGAAGCCACAGGGACAGAACTCCAGAGGGAAAGGGCCAGACGTTGGGACAAGGGCGCCTTGAAGGCCACCTGGCTGCTGGCTTCTGAGGCCCTGCCCCTCCGAGTGTGATTCCCAACCAGCAAGATGGTGGCCACCTAGGCTCTTGCCCCACCCTGGATTCGGCAAAGCAGCACCTGCACATTAAACCGAGGCACAGTGATCTGTGGGAGATGCCCACTGTAAGGCCTGGGTAGAAAGAGGCAGAGGCCTGGCTCCCCTGACCCAGCACTTTGGGGGCTCCAATAGGCCTGACACCTCTGGTCTTATTAATGAGAGAAATCTAGATTTCTCTTCCTACTCCCCTCATCACCACTGCCCCACACAGCAGGTATAGGACAGCTCCCCCAGCCAGGGTCCTGCCCAATCAGGAAGGAGCACTGGCTTTCCAATTCCAGCTCAATTTCTGATCTGCCAAACAGGGTAAACAGTGCCTACCTCAGGGCCATCTGGAGGGTTCACAGGGGAAGGACACGTGAAGAACGAGACAATAATGTAGCTCGGGTCCCTGCTCTGCCCCTCAACCACTTGAGTAAATGCCTCAATTTCCAGGGAATACGGGTAAGCTGGTCCAGTTCACAAGTGAACCACCTGCACTGAGAAGGTGCTCCTCAGTGCCCCTCCTCTTGGTTCTCTGCCTCCTGAGCTTGGGGATTCTGGAGTATATGGCTAAAGGAGGGGGTGCTCCAAGCCACATGCTAAGCATGATGTTTGTTACAGATACAAACAGAAAAGTATGTTGTGGACTAGAATGCAAAATCCAATGACTTTCTAACATAAAAGAGGATATTTCCAGGAAATTTCCAGTTTGCTAGCAGCCTGCTTCGGGCCACAGGGGCTGGGAGGACAAGTGGGGAGTCGGCGGCCTGTGTGATCTTTCCTCCGCCCTTGGGAGGATTGCAGTGAAAGGGCTTGAGGAGCACAACCTCCTTCCATCTCCCTGAAACCAACGTAGTGGGTGGTCTGGCCCACCACGGTTCACAGTGCTCCCAGTAGCCTCCAGAGCACCAGAGCCCACACGCTGACCAATAGCATCTGGCTTCATCAAATGATACCAGAACTGGGTCTCAAGGCTCCAACAAGGTCTTCAGGGGAATCCATGCCCTCTGGGGCTGTATGAACGTAAAAGCATTAGATTCCAAGAACAGAAACAAGACACTGTACATTTCTTCCCTGGTTCATTGTCCCATGGAAATCCTAATCACAAATGCCAGGCTTTCTGGGAGGCCAGGGGGAGGAATAAATACGAATGAAATGACCAGGGCAGGAAAACAGTTCAACAAGATTAAAAGCTACAGCCTTTCCCTACTCTACCCACAAAACAGCCCAGGGCAAGGCCATGTGATCTGGACCAGGGACCTGGACCAGAGCCACTTAGATCAGGAAATGCAGAACCATCATTCAAAGTGTCATAATGAAGGACTATGGGTGTGAGTGACCAAAGCCCATGGACATCAGCTAAAACTGTCCCTGGGACAGGCAAAGACAAGGGGTTCCTAGGGAAATTGACCAGGAACTGGGAAACCTATGGGGTCGGGGGAGGAGGGTTAACTGGCAAATTTCATGAAGATCAAGGGCCTATATAAAGGTCACAGGACCTAAACCAGGCAACTGTACCAAAGGCTCTCCTGCAGAGACAGATGACAGGAACTGGAGACAAGAAGGGCTCTTTGTGAGAGCTGGTTGTGCAAACACACCCTGGAGCCAGGAGGAGAACCAGGTCCACCCAATTCTATACTCCACTCTCTCCCTGGGACCTCTGGTCATTCCACTCCAGATCACCCTCTCCAAAAAGAGCCATGAGCTGACACAAAGACCCTGCCAAGCTGACTGTGACTAGAAGACAGAGACAGCCCAGCTACATGAGGGTCACAGGGACTCCCACCCACTGCCCAGGGTCTGCTCCTCAGGCCACTCTTCCATCAAGCAGTAAACAAGCACCAAGCAGTAAACAAGCACCAAAGGGTTCGCTGGCTCTCTTCTTTTCTCTCTTCTGCCTGTCCCCTCTCTGGTGGAGGCACTAATGAGCACAGAGCAGATAGAATGAGGGTTGTGGAACTCGAGCAGTGGACACACAGCTCAGCCTCACTGGACACCTAGGCAGCTGGGAGAGGGTGGGACACCAGCATCAGGAGTTGCCTGTTGGGAGGGCAGAGCCCACAGAGAGTTCTGAGGTCAGAGAACAAAACTACAGTCAGGACTTGCCCTGGTTGCTGTCCCTGACCCAAGAGCATGAGTCTAATGCTCTGAGTGGGTCAGGGCAGAGCCTCTTGTCCTAGGGCCACACAGGCTCAAATGCACGCTCCATGGCAGCTCAGGACCCAGGGGAGAAGCCTTTCTGTGGCCCCCTCAGAGGAAAGGGTATGAAAGAGCTGGGCCCGGAGTCTGGGGAACAAGTAGGACTGGAGACCAAAGAACAGCCACAGGTCTCATCACCCAGTAAGACAGTAGTTAACAAGTATCAACCAGGTGCCAGCTCAGTGCTGGGTCCCAGCTAGACAAGTAAACCATATGTGACCCCTGTCCTCAAGGGGTTTACGGGCCAGTTCTGGGGGGTCATGCAATAGACAAACAAATAGACACACACTAAATTAAACCACATGAAACTGCAACTTTTGCAGGTAAAAATTGGTCAAATAGTAACAATTTCATATGGTTCAACCTAATTAGAGGTTATCTTAAATACTACAAAGAAAACCAACAGATAGTTGTAACTAAGAGTAACAAGAGGCTGGAGCTCTCTAGACAGGTGGTTAGGGAGGGTCAGGAGAGGTGACATTTAGGATGACAGCTGTAAATGAGAAGGAGCCAGCATGTACAGAGTGGGAGGCAGGTACCAGGACCAGCTCTGCAAGGGACTGGCAGGAGCACCCCAAAGCTCAAAGCAGGAAAAAGCAGTAATGTGGGGGCTGGCAAGGAGAAGGGGACCAGGCACACAGCTGCGAAGAAGGGAGGGGCACAGAAGAAATTGGAGCTTCAGGCCCAAGACCCTAAAAATGAGCAGTTAACTGAGCAGAGGAATGGAGGGCCCCACACCTTTGAGGCCTCCAGAGCACTGTGAGCCACCAGAAGTCCTCTCCAAGTATGTCAATATGACAGGGTCTGCTCCCATGAGGGCAAAAGACAGTTTGGAGGAAAAACCATAAATATGCATACTGTGCTAGGCTGATTGGTCTAGTCGCTCCAAATCTTTACTTCCCCATTTCCTCCCTCTTTGCCACGTAACACACAAGGGCCTTCCCACCTCTTAAACTGGGTCAGGTGTGTGACCAGTTTTGGCCAATGGGATGTTAGCAAATATGAAGCTGAGAATGAAAAAGCAATTTGCATTTCTGCTGGTGCTGCTGTCTTCTGCCATCACCGTGAGAAGTGAATGAATGCCCAGGCTAGCTTGCTGGCCCCAGAACGAGAATGAGAGACAGGCAAGAGAAAAGAGAGATGAGTCACCTCATCACCCCTGCCAGGGCCATCCTAGACCAGCCGACCCCCAGGTATATCATAGAGCCCAGCCAAGGTTAGCAGAGCCACCTGGCTGACCACCCTACATGACTGAGCAATCAGTGCAGAAAGCTGTCTGCCACTGAGGTTTTGTGGTTGTTTGTTACACGGTATTACTGTGATAATAGATAACTATACAACATAGTAAGTACTCAGTATCTGTCATCTGGATAAAAAAGTTCCAATTTCATTTGAACAAACTAATAAAATATCAATTGTGCAAACTATGGTACCTTCTATACAGGTTTTCTACAAAAATGTATCTTGCGCTGTGAATCGACCGCTCCATCAACCGTACAGGTAATATCTGAAAGAAAACAAAAAGTTATTCACTAACTCAAGCAAAGAGAAGGAGGTCAGGAAGGCTTGAAGAATGCCTGCGCTCCCCCTGACTATGATCTATGCTGAATACAAGAATTGAGAAGCTAACACGAGGTTCAGCCTGGTTCCACCCCACACACTTGCTCAGTGGCCAGCACAGCAATGCTGGGGCTGAGGGCCCATCAGCAGCAGCCTCTTTCACAGCAGCGGTAAGCCTTACATGCATTGTGGGTTTGGGGAAGTGCTAGAAACACTGCCAAGTGCTGTCCAGCAAAGCAGTGTCAAGTGCAGTCTGGTGATTACTACGGACCTAAGTAGGGTGCCTTTGCTTAAGCAGAGAGATCTGAATGCCTAAGGAAGAGCCCAGAAAGGGCTGAGGTTCAGGTGACATTATGGGGACTATGCCATCAGTGCCGCAGGGTCTGGCTTTCTGGAACCCCACAAGGACGAGAGACCTGCCAACTTCGTCACCTTCTCACAGGGCTGTTTGGAGATCACTGCAGCCCTTTGGAAACTGGGAAGGACTGTGCCCAGGAGGAAGGAGAATGACACTGACATCAACCCTCTGTGGCAGGGTGCTCACACCCTCCACAGATGACCTTTCCCTTTGTCCAGTGTCCCAGTGGGAAGTAGGAGGGGCCCTTGGTCTTGACACCAAGTGGGCAAACACTGCCCTCACGCAGCGTAGTGCCCATGCACCCACAGCACCCATAGGCCTTGGACCAGCAAATCAGGGGCAGATTCAAAAGCATAACCCACGAATTTCCTGACTCCCTCTCCCTGTGCCTCTATCTGTCCATCTCCTCCCTTCTATTTTTCTATCCTTTCCTTACTTTGATATCACTTTCCACTGCCCATCTTTTGCCAGCTCCCCAGCCACCCATCTCTCTTTCTGTTTATCTTTCCAAGTCTGTCCATCTTTCTTTCTCGGCATCCTTCATGGTATGTCCCATTACATTCAGATATAAAAGATACAATTCAGGTTTGCAAGTGACTGCCGCTCAGGAAAAGTAAGTGAACAGAAGAAAAAAGTGCCAACCTCAGATCCTCTAACCTGTATCATTTAGACAGACACTGGGGGGGGAGAGGGGGAATAGAAATTCATATGGCTCTGTTCATATCTTTCCCTCTTTAAGACACACATCTGTAGAAGAATGATAGCTATAGTTCTAAGTACCCAACCCTTGATCAAACCACCCAGCCAAATGGCTGTGTCAACGTAACTCTTAGGTTGTGTTTGCAGTTTTGAACCACAGGTGCCAATGAGGATCTCCTCAGCCAGCCTTTCTTCTAAGAGACTCTGCCCCTATTCACATCCCCAGTGATGGAAGGGGCCCAAGCAGCCTCTTTGTGGGCCAAGATATTACCAGCACCTGATTGGTCCAGGGCTGGACATCTGACCCAAGCTCAGCCAATAAGGTTCTTTCTCTCAAGAATATAAACCAAAAGCCAGACCTTGTGAAGGTTAGAGAGTGATTCTCAAACATGCGAACAAACAAAGCATGCATTAAAATCACCTGGAGAGCTTGATAAAACACAGATTGCTGGGCCTCATCTCCAGAATTTCTGATTCAGCAGGACCAGGATGGGGCCAGAAAATGTGCATTTCTAACAAGTTCCCAGGTACTGCTTCTGCTCCTGGTCCAGGGAACACACTTTGAGGAGGACTGAGTTCAATGGTGTTCAGCCCAGTCATGGGTCGGGTCATGAAGACTCAGGCTCATAGCGGTATCATAGCAACATCTTGACTAGCTGAGGCTTGTGGGTGGGGGTCCTCAGAGAGCTGCAGGAACAGAGACCTTGGCCCACAACAGAGAAGGCTGAGCCGCGGCTGAAGGCCCAACGAGGCCTCCTTGCGAGGGTTCCCTTCCTGGCAATCATATACTCCTCACTGAAGAAAACGGTACAAAGGCTGAAACCAAGCATCCGAAAGGTACCTGAGGACGAGTGTGCTGCTCCAGCATGGTGAGCTGCACATATGTCTGCAACGTGAGGCCCCATCGAACGGCATCACAGTACATCAGACCCTGCAGAAGAGAGAACGTAGCAATTGACCTCAAAGTGCTCTATCTATAGGACTCTGGTCATTTTGGTCCCTGACAGCCATCTCAGAAAACCTATGTGGGCTGAAATGGGGCCAGACATAAACCCAGCATGGTCACAGGCGCCCTCAGAATGGAGTAGACAAAGACAGACACTGGATTACTTACAGGACAGCCCAGTAACAGCAGTAATAGGAGCCTATACAAAGTCCTCAGGGAGCATTCATTCAGTCATTAAATAAATGTTCACCAAGCCTCTAAAGTCTATTCTCTACCCAGCAGCCAAAGTGAGCCTGTTACACCTAAATCAGTTCTTGTCACTCCCCTGCTTAGTACCTTCCAGTGACTTCCCACTGCCTTCTGAATGAAATCCAAAGCCCCTACCAAGGCCCACAGAGCCCTAGACGATCACTTCCATCTTCTCTCATCTCCTACCATTCTTCCTCTGGCTCAGTGAACTTCCAACCACATGAGCCTCCTTAGTGTCCCCCAAATGCCCGAGCACAATTCCACCTCAGGGCTTTTGCATCTGCTATGCCCTCTGTCTGAATGCTCTTCCTCCAGCTATGTGCATGGCTCACTCCCACACTTTGTTTAGGTCTCTCCTCAAATGTCACCTGATCAGAGACTCCTTCCCTAGCTATAATGTGTAAAATAGAAGCCCCATTCCATCACTTGACTGCCTGTACCTACAAAACACTTAATGCTCCATATTCCACTTGCTAATAATCTTACTCTGCTCTCTTCCACATATTAATTTTTTTTCTTGGTGCTAACTAATGAAACTCCATCTCTGCACTGAAAACCAGTCTCCTAACTGTAGAAAAGAAAACCTCAGAAAGGTTGAGAGAAACACTCCCTCTTGTCTGACAGTTGCAAAAACAAACACCCTTCTGCATCAGAGAGCCAATTCAGATAGTGATGGACTGAGACTTTTCACAGAACTACCAATCCTGGTTTTCTGTCCTGATTATAAAACTGTCATTTGAAATACTCTTTGTACCAAGGATACTTACACTTCTGAGACTGGGACTGTGTCCTGTGAAATGTAAAATCTAACTCCTAACAACTGTAACTCTAGTTGTCTTACTTAATAATCCATCCCTGGTTCCTCCCTGTTTCCTACAGAGTGAGGATGTTTCTGAGGCTTTTCTATTATGCCCAAAGAGAAAGACTGGCATTCCGTCTTCTTCATGTCTCTGGGATTCTTTATTCAAAAACTCCGAGAGTTTCTGCCTTATTTAAATTATATCCTTTTACCTGCTCTAGATGTCTTCATAGCTTCAATCACTACACACCATATCATACATGTCACTGTCTTCTGCCTCCCCACACTGGAAAATCAGGGCGAGAAGACCAGGAGCCGGCAACAATTATTGGTTAAATGAATGACTAAACAAGCACCTACTAAGTGCTCGGTAGTGTGCTATGTTCTAGCAAAAAACAGTGAGCCAAATTAGACAGGACCTGCCCCTAGTGGAAGTCAAGAGTCCAAGGAATCACACAAGGAGATCCCAACTGTGTTGCTAGAAATGGACAGTAGAGGCTCCCCCTAGTCCAAGGTTCAAACCTAGATCTATCATTTACCAGCATGTGACCTTGGGCAACTTATTTCAGCTGCCGTTTCCTCACCTGAAAAATGAAACATCATTCCTACATCACTGGGCAGGTTCCCAGACCAGCAGCCCTTTCTTAAGCTCCCTCTTATAGGACCAAGACTCCACCCTTCTCTTTCGAGCAGCCAGAGCAGAGCCTTCTGAATGGGGAAGGAGTAAAAGGGGCACAAGCACATTGTAGTCCCTGCTTGCTAGGTCCACCCTTGGGAAAGCAGACAGGTAGCTTCAGGGTGAGGAAGAGGCAGCCCCTGGATATTGCCAAGTGCAAATCCAAATCAGAGGTTTACCAAGGAAACTGGTTACTTAGAGATGATAGGTCCTAGGGGGATAGGCCTGAAGACACATGGGTTCTAATGGGTTTCTTTCTAGGAGAGGGTGGGGGTGGAATGAGCAGCAGGAGACAGGGCCCCCCTCCCCCGGAAACCAAGGCTGACTACTTGAGGTAGTCTGGGGTCACTGACAGGAGTTCCCTGGGCGCTGTGCATGTCGAGCCAAGCCTCCAAGATCCTTAACCTCAGAACACCTGCATGCTGCCACTTTCCATTTGTTTCCTCCTGCTTCTCCTCCAACCCAGCTAAGAGCAAGAAAAATCCCAGAGCATGAGGCAGGCTCAGGCACCAGCACCACCATTCCCAGGCACTGAAGAGGAAGCTGGCAGATCACACAGGAAACAACACACTCACCAGAGGATTATGGCCACGGATATTTCTCCACTTGGATACAGGCTCAGGTAACACCTGCAGGGAAAGAAAACATCAAAGAGCTGCTGGGCAGGGAGGTGAGAGAAGCCAAGAGCGAAGCTACTTCAGGCACTTCAGGCTATGACTTGAAGCCCAGCTTCCCCGCTTGGGAACTCTCTTGTGACCCTGGACACTTGCTCTGCCTCCATCCCCTCCCTCTGATCTCTGCACTGGGCACAATGACAGCTAAGAGTCCTGTTTCTTTAGTATACTCCCTAAACTGTTGTGCAGGTGTGTGCTAGAAAGGATTTAAATGGTGTTCTTGGGGCTAAGATTTTCAGAGTACCCAAGTCCATCTGGGGACCTTAAAGGGCATGTGAGAAGGTACCAGAGGTCACAAGAGACCAAAGGAAAGCAATGAACAGTAACCTCCCCTAACCTTATACACTTCTGTGCCTTCGCTCATGCTATTCCTTCTGCCCAGTATGCCTACCTCACCTCATTTCATATCAACTCTCATTACATGGAAAACTATACATCCTTCAAAATCCAGTTCAAATATCCCTTCCTCTCTGGCTTGCATTGTGGCTCACATTATATTTCTACCGGACAGGGCTGGTCCACACCCCCTATAAATTACTCTGTCAAGCACTTGTAGGTTCCTTCCAACTTGCTGTGGAGACCATACCTCGATTTCTGTTGTGCTGGAGAAGAAATCCAGGCATGTGGTCTTCCCACTAGCAATATTGCCCTCAACACAGATCTGGCAAAAGACAAGTGCATGTTAGAACCAGAAATCAAGCACCTGGGGGAATGTCAAGGAAGAATTTCTAGAGAGGGGCTCAGGTAAACAGCATAATTGGCCAATCCAAGATTTCAATGTGTACACAAAAAATCCCTCCAAGGGAAACCCCCAAAGTCCCACTGTTAGTAATAAACAAACTGACCCTCCCCTTCAGTGGCAGGATTTAGGTCCAAGGCTGGTGGCCACCAGAGCATTCCCACCAGGACAGACCTGCCCTTTCACCAATCCCTATAGACCATATATAGCTTTCCCTTGGCTACCCTAGCTCTGCCCTTCCCTAGCTCAACCCTTCAGACTATTAGATTTTAGGCCTAAGGGTCCTTTCTGCTTAACCTCTAATGGCTTTGAGATTGGAAAGCATGCATATATTATCTAGAACCTAACTCACAGCTTTGTGCAGGAAAATGTGCTCAGTCATGGACTGGAAGGTGTTAGGACAGGAGAGAAGGACTTGGTTGAGCACCTAAGATTCGTAACATACACCATTAACGTAATGAACCTCACCAGACCCTGAGAAGTGGGTCCTAACATTTTCACAGAAGAAATTGAGGCTTGAAAAAGGGAATGAAGCAGGAAGGACAGCTTAAACCTACACTCTGCTCACACTAACTGCACTGGGGGAGAGAGGTGTCACAGCACTGGAGGAGGGGGGGCCACAGCCAGCTACCCAGGGTCTATGTATGCCAAAAACCAAGGACTTCCTTTCAAGCACCTCACTGAAGGGAAAAAAAAGCACTCGAGGCAATCATTTTCCATCTTGACTATATGCTAGAATCACCTGGGAGCTTTTAAAAATGGATACAAGGAAGCCAAAGCCCAGAGCAATTCCAGCACAATCCCTCAGATGGGACTCAGGCCTCAGTACCTTGTAAAGCGATCCAGGTAATCCCAACATGCAGAAAGGACAAGCACTGCTGGTCCACAGACCCCTGCTTTGGAAGCACCAGAAGAGTACCCAGACCCTCAGAATTAGAATCCAGGCTGGGGCGCTCAAGCCTGCTGCCCAGCAATTCTCACAAGATCCTGCTCAGCTGGACAATGCTGGTGACTTTGGTTCCAGCAGATCACAGAGGAAATGGGCAGTTCCACATAAGACAAACTGGCCCTTGAGAACATTTATTAGACATCCCTGGGGTACACACAGTCAGCAGAGGACCCATTCTGTTGCACGGTGACCTTTACACTCAGGCTGGAGGTACCTAGAGAAATGTGGGCCACTTAGGTGACTTGCCCAAGGTACCAGGCCTAGTAGGAAAAAGCTGAAACTCACACTCTGGCCTGGCAGATCCCTTCTCATGACCTCATTGGAGACTCAGTCATACCCTACATAAAACATGGGGTAACAAATTGCCCCACCTCCTATAAACTCTGTCAGTTGTCTGTGTAGGTTTCCTCCTGCCTTGATCCTGACAGGTATCCAGGAGAGCTGGATAATCACACTTCCCACAGACACCAGGCCAACCTCCAATCCCAGCTCCCTGCCAGCTCTCTACTTTGGAACTCGAAACTATAAAATGAAGCCAAGGGAGTGCGCAAAAGGGAGATCCCATTAGGGCACTAGTGAATTTGATTTTCCATTGCTATTCTTTAAAGGAAACCACGTTTCTTCTTCCTAAATATTTAAAAAAAGAGCTCAACCAAACATCACTCTGCACAGACTTTGTTTCTTTCTTGCTCACTACAAGGGACATATTGTTCAGATGAGAACTTCTTCCAAAAATACTTGTTCAACTCCCACCATGAAATCCTAAGAGTTGGTAAATCTAAGGCCTTGGATTAATAACTGGTTTTCCCAGTAGAGCAGGCAAGGCGTGAAGAATCCCACAAAGTTCCTGTCGCGGAGGGAAGAGAGAGGAGCCAAGCAAATAAGACTTTAATTTTTCTTAAAAGTAGTATCTAAAAATATTGTAAGAGGAGAGCACACCCACTGAAGAAAACAACAGAAAAAACTCATAAAGTAGAAAATACCGTCTATAATCCACTACCGAGAGATAAACATTATTACATTTCAGCACGTTTCTCGTGTTTGAGAGTCTTTCAACTGCTCACTGAAGGCCTATTATGTGCCAAGCCCTGTGGACTCAGCAGTCAGTCCCAGCACCCACCGAACACACAATGAGTGAGAGGATGGGAGGAAAGTAACAGGTGAGTCCAGGAAAAGATGTTCACCATGCTATGGGAGAACGTGGCCAGCCTGATCCACCTCTCTGCGATGTGCCGAAGTTTATCTCCACTTTTCTCGTGGGCCTTGATTCCAACTTCCTGTGATTATAATTAACTCTGTGATGCACTACCTAGCCTTACTTTTAAATAGCAATATTTGATCTTTCCTGAAAATAGAAGACAAGCATTCTCACAGTAGGAAATACTGAGAACTAAAAGAAGAAAATAAAAATCACTCATAATTCCAGAGAGAACCGCGATTCAGATGTCTAATCAGAACCACGCTTTCCAGAGGCAAACAGGCTCAGGCTCCAAAGACCTATTAAAGACCCTGAGAAATATGTAGTAAAAAGGAAACTTGCCTAAATGTCCAACAACTGGTAAACAGATAAAGTGTGGTGCATCCACACAATGAAATACTATTTGGCATGCTATATGCTGATGCATGCTAGTGTGGATGGGCCTCAAAAATCTGCTAAGTGAAAGAAACTAGATCCAAAAAAACCCAAATGCTATACAATTCCATTTTATAGGAAATGTTCAGCAAAGCAAATCCATAGACAGGAAGTAGATTAGTGGTTGCCTGAGGCTGGGGGAGTGACTACAAATGGGCAGGTTTCTTTCCCTAGTGATAGAAATGTTCTAAGATTAGACTGTGGCGATGTTGTACAACTCTGTAAATTTACTAAAATTCACTGAATTGTACATTTAAAATGAGTGAATTTGGGGGTATGTAAATTAAACTCAGTAAAGCGGTGGGTTTTAAGTTTTTTTTTAAAAAAAAGGACCGCTGTTTAACATTCAAATACCTAAGAGAAAACTCCTCACACCCCAAATTCTCTCTCCCTCTCATTCAGATTCAATGTTAACACTCCCTAATTTTCCCGTACCCAGACAGACAATTTCTGCAACAGTCTGCAATATTTATTTCCTAGGCTTTTCCCCTATAAAGTTTATATACTATTTCATTTGAATCACACTTCATATATTTTTATCCTTTTGTTTTTTTCATCTCTTGCATAATGAGTGCTTTTCCAAGTTATTAAATATTTTTCAAAAACATGACTCTGAATGATGAGTAATCATCCATCACATGATATCCCATGGCCTCTGGGGAGGGAGTCTGAGGCCCAGGCAGGAAGACACACCTCTCCCTATCCCTGGAGATCCTCTGGTATTTCTGTTTTTCACTGTGTGTATATTCTTTCCCTCCCCTCCTCAAAAAAAAATTACGTATAAAAGAGGGACTTACCACTGACTTTTTCTCTTTCTCATTTCCTTTATCTACAGAAGAAAGGAAATCAATATTTAAACTCAGTTTTAAATGATTCACTATTCATTGTCCTAATTTGCTAACCCACCACAAAAACAGTAATTTTTATGCTTGCTCCCTGACCTGAGAATGTTTTCCAATGACACCTGGGACCCTCCATGGGTGGACAGAGGCAGACCCCCTACAGCTGTCTACCTTGTGTGACACTGCCACTGCTACCTGGGTCCTGTTGGCATGTCTGGGCCCCGGCTGTGCTCGGCTTTTTCACTTAGTATTTCATACTTTCCATTTTCCACACACTTCCTATCTATATCCTCACAAGTTGGTGTCAAGCGAGTGAAAAGGCAGAGTGGCCTCCACCCGCAGCGCAGAGGTAAGAGTTGGCAGCGGTCATGGGTTTCGGGCCCAGGTCTCAGGTTTCTCCTCTAGGCCCAGGGCAGAGGCCTGGGCCCGCTCACCTCACAGGTGAGTCTGAGGTGCCACCCAACTGCCCAAGACCCTGGTTGTTAACAGTGGTTCCTGTTTCTGACAGGGAGGGTCTCCACTACCTGTGGGAGAGGAAGGGCGCCCGAGCCTAAACCACCCACCACTCGCTGGGGGCTGTTTATCTGCAGCTCCCAGCCTCCATCTCCCCCGAGGCCAAAAAAAATCGGACCAGGATTTGGATGGGAGCCCACGCCCATAGGCTCCACCCGCCCGCTGCCAGCTCCAGTCTGGGGTGCGTGCCAGTGGCCGTCCCTGCCCCTTCCCGCAGCCAGTAGGAGTAAACCCCCGCGCCTCCGAGAAGAGGTTTTGGGTTCAGAAAGGAGCCGAGGGACGTGAGTGGGGCGGGCAGGGCTGAACGCTAAGGCGTGGGCCGCAGCCGGACGCCAGCAAGGTGGTACCCGGAGACGCGTTACCCCGAGGCCAGGCCCGGCGCTGCGCCCCCCGTATCCTCGGCC